TCTGTTAAACTACTAAGTATTGGTGACAAAATGGCACCAATTTAAGTTTCCATACCCTCACCGGTAGGGAATAACGGACAATTTATGATTTTTTCAAAATATTTGTATTTGCTTACATAAAATGGCCATAAGTGCACTAAACATTGTTTTTATTCCAAATTCATTGTCATTTTTAGAATCCTCATTAAATTTCCAATATTAATAGTACAAATCCATTGGGATAAAACATCTGTATAAGCCCTTATTTGGCAATTGAAGTTTGAATTTGTGATTTTTTAGAGAAAAGTAATAACTTTTCCAAAGTTTTTCTATACTACACTGGACTCTAGAGAGTGTCAATTATTACTAAAAACTTTGGCAGTTAATAACCTTTAAAATGATGTATAAACATCTACTGTTCGTTTGATTTGTCGTTCTCAAATTTAAGAGTTTTTCTTGAAAAACACGGAACGGCTAATGTTTAATTTCCTGTAAAAAAAACATGTATTGGCTTCAATGATATGGCAGCAGCTTTAAAAATCATGTTTAAATGGGTATTATTGCAATTTTCAGAATGCTTGTAAAATTCCTAATATATTGAGGTATTGTTAGGATTAACGCATTATGAACCTATGTTTTGTGAAGTATCTTCATTTAGGGTTTTTTCTTTTTTATTGGCATAACTTAAATATCGTTTACGGTGTTAGTTCTGTGGTACATTCAACCGATGTGCGAGATTGACTTAATGCAAAATACACAACTTGAACAATGATAACAATGATAAAGATGGGTCATATGGTGTGATTTGCTGGCATGCCAGGTCGCCAGACCTTAAGTCCACTGGACTTGTTTTGTGTGGCTATGTGGAGTACTTAGTATCCTCATCTTTAGTGGAAGATAGTGGATGCAGATGTGCTAGTCAGAGGAACGTTGTATTTTAATGTTACTGTTGGTGCCACTTGCAAAAAAACTTGGCTGTATATCAGGGAAAATAAAGATTTTGAAAAAAAAAACTCAAGTAGTTGGCATCAAATATAAGGCAACTATTAAAACGTTAAGGAAGTAAGGAACAGTTATTTGTATTTAAGTTTCGAATATTGTGTGTTTTAGAATTAACTTTTATTTTTTGTGTAAATAAGTTAAACTACGTATTTCTGAGGCTTTAACAATAATTTTAGTAAAGAAATAAATCACTTGGCTGATTTTCACTAGCATGTGTCTAAGCACTACAATCTAATTGCTATACTTTACTTAGATTAATTTTGGGTTTTGTTTTCGGTGAACATATTGATAACATTGTAAAGTGTAGTATCTACATAATTTTAGAGGTTACTCCATTTATTCGCTTATGCTTAGAAAATAATCTTAAGTTAAATGTACTATGTGTAACTTTAAACAATATTCAATGTATTCAAAAAATTAAAATAAATAAAAGTTTAACATGTTTTCACAAAACATACGTTTATATTGTTTTTTAAACTAATATATCTTTAATATTCTTATAATAAATCTCACAAGGACTCTAAAAATTACAATAAACCCAATTCAAAAATAATTGTTATTGCAGCTATTGCCATATTATTTAAGCAAATACATGTTATTTTAAAGGGAGGCGATTTTGGCCATTCCGTGTTTTTTTAAGAGAAAATCTTAAATTTGAGAACGACAAATCAAACGAACAGTAGATGTTTATACATCATTTTAAAGGTTATTAACTGCCAAAGTTTTTAGTAATATTTGACACTCTCTAGAGTCCAGTGTAGTATAGGAAAACTTTGGAAAAAGTTATTACTTTTTTCTAAAAAATCACAAATTTAAACTTCCATTGCCAAATAAGGGCTTGTGCAGATGTTTCATCTCAATGAATTTGTACTATTAATATTGGAAATTTAACAAGTATTCTAAAAATGACAATGAATTTGGAATAAAACAATGTTTAGTGCACTTATGGCCGTTTTATGTAAGCAAATACAAATATTTTGATAAAATCTTAAATTGTCCGTTATTCCCTACCTGTGAGGGTATGGAAACTTAAATTGGTGCCATTTTGTCACCAATACTTAGTAGTTAAACACATAAAAATTTTTAACACTAACTTCGTTCCACCCTGTATAACTAGGAGACCATTTATTGTTTATGATTATATCGTTTTATTAGGTTAAACGAGGTTTTAAATGACTGCAATAACAAGAAACAAATTGTAAACAAAACATAACCTCTATAGTTGGACGTACAGAACTAACAATAAAATTGGCTTCAGCTGTTCCATTAGGATGACTAATCTACTAAGGGAGTATGTTTTATCTATGATAACACTTAGCATGCTAAATTATTTGTTTTTTAAGCTCTGCAAAATGTTTTCTAAAGAAATTGCGGATTTTTTTGTTTTTATCGTAAAAAATGGGAAAACCCCATTTTTACCCGATAAAATCCCCCATAAACCCCCGTTCCCATAGTCCGATCATGCTGGTTCGCGAACTCATTCGAATAAAATACATGTAGGTTTACACGTTTGTACCAAATTTCATCAAAATCGGACCATTTTTGCTTGAGTTATCGTGCTAACGGACAAATATATATGTGTGTGTGAATTTGAACGGATGGTGTTTTTGGCCTCTGGGGACATCAAAACTAAAAGGTAAATCGGTCCCGGGACCAGGTCTTACGATGAGATCTACGGTTAAAGGGAAGCTGATTCCCTAAAAGATATGGGATGAGATATTTCAAGCCGGGGTATTAACAATTTGTCAAAACTATCAACACTCATTCATGAGTACATGAAAGATTTGTCCGGATATTTCCTCAAATCCGAGTATATAGGTAAATCTGGCCTTTCAAGGTTCTCGGACTATAAATTGGATGCACCCAGTATTTTCTCTCACGTTTTCTTGCACGAAATATTACCAGTAACGCACATATGACAGCGGTATACATCCTTTTGACACTCGAAAGACGACTAAACAGTCATGGCGTGTGGGCACCCATAGTCAACGACCAAACAGTCTTGACGACTTTTCGATTGTCCACCCGACTCCAGCCAGACAGATAACCAACAGTCGGCCGACAAAAAGTCTCTCGTGTGCGGTAGGCCTAACAGCTAACCTTGCTCTGGTTGATAGCCTGGCGGAGAGCTTTCCTCGCAGCCGTATAGGCCCAGTGCCGGATTTACCACTAGGCCGATTAGGCCGCGGCCTAGGGCCGCAAGCAAAAGGGGGCCGCAGAGGATTGGGAAAAACATTTTTTAGATAAAATTTTTAAAAAATAATTTATTTTAAACCACCAGTTTGCCGCGATCACAGGTGACCATAATGATGTCTCCGTGGACCGAGGGAGATGTTCACGATTTTGCCGCGGCCTCGGGTGCCTGTGATGATGTCCCGTGATTGCGGCCCGTGTGCGGGAGATGTTCACGATTTCGCCGCGGTCACAAGTGTCGATGATGATGTTCACGTGATTGCGGCCCGCGGCAGATGTTCATGATTTCACCGCGGCTGTGAGTGTTGATGATGATGTCCCTGTGATCGTGGTTCACGGGAGTTGTTAACGATTTTGCCGCGGCTGGGGGTGTCAATGAGGACGTTCCCGTGATGGCTTCCCGAGTGGAATGTTTACGATTTCGGCACGGCCGCGGGTAACAATGATGAAGTCGTCATGATCGCAGTCCACGGGAGAGGTTTTTAACACGACTTTGCCGCGATCGCAAGTTTCGATGATGATGTCCCCGTGATTGCGGCCCGCGGGAGATGTTCACGATTTTACTGCGGTCCCAGATAACTATGATGGCTTTGACTTGGTTTAGGAGAGATGTCCACGATTTCATCCAGGATCACAGGTGTCGATGATGATGTCCCCTTGATGTATAGGAGATAGTCACTATTACTTCCGCCTTCCGCGATCGCAAGGAATTTTCACCACAGGGGGAGGGCCGCTCAAGTAATTTGGCCTAGGGCCGCAAGTACCCTAAATCCGGCACTGTATAGGCCGCGGACTTAGCCTCAGAATCCGGGAATCTTCTGGTCCTCATAGTGGAACGTCTGGCTTTCAGACAAGCTTTCCGAAGGTTTGAGATCTCCAAAGTCCACCGGTACACAGGTTGTTTATCGCGATGGCGTCTCCTGCGTGGCATGGCCTGGTCACAAGCCGAGACAATTGGTTCCATCGTGGACGTTACTAATGCCTCGGCATCATTAGGTGCAGCAGGATTCACCAACGCCCCCCGTGAGATTACATCAGTGAACTTCTCAACATCCAGCTTTTCCATATTCCATCGGCGTGTGTAACGGTTCAAAGTTGTTTTACCCTTGTATACTGAGCCTGATCAACGCAGTTAGTGTCTCCACAGCTGCATTAGCGCTATGTTGCCTGCCGTTTTGGGTACAGACAGGGTTGATCTACCAAATGGTAGTCAATGAATAGTCATTTATTCCATCTTTAAACAATACAATACAATACAATAATTGATTTTGTCAAAAAATAACTACATCCTAATTTTGGCTACATTGTAGTTGACAATAGACAATATGGCATGCTATAATATTCTAATTTAGTTCTGAGGATCTAAATAACATTTTCCAGACTTCTTAAACTAATACACAGAATAATATCACAGTATCTTAAACTAATACACAGAATAATATCACAGTAGCTATAAATTATATATCACAGATTGAGATTGGCTGCATTAAATTAATTGTAAACATGAAAACGACCAACATTAGACATACACAGTGTAATTATTGATAACTAAGATGGAATTTTTAACAACTAAAAGATGACAATAAAAAATAATACTGAATGGAATTCTAATAATAATTAATTGGTCTAGCTAGGAAACACTGAATTAGAGGACCAATGGTGACTAATAGTCCTAGTTGTTGTGTCTCCTCCACCCTCATGATGCTAGCACACACTACTCCCATCCCAGATGAAAGGTCCTTCAGCTGCTTTTTTATATGCAATGTGCCAAAAGGTGTTAATAATTAAAATCTTAATGTACTTTAATTGATGTCTATTGTTTTCAGATTCAATCCAGTTGAAGAGTTTGCCTACTTGCTAAAGAAGTTCCCAAATATATAAATGGATCATGTATGAAATAAGATGAATACAGGTAAATAATAGCAATGATCACAAGTGTTAAAAGGTGATGAACAATTTTGTGCATTATGTAGGTTATTTATGTAGGTTAATTGCATTACTTTATAGTAATTTTCACTGCTGCATGACATAATAAACCAGTGGTCCCAAATGACCAATTTTTATGGAAAGAGTGTACAAAAGTATGGTTGCTATCTCATTCCATAAAATAATTGATTTGTTCTTAAAGACATTTAGCTGTTTTAGACTGATTACCTGCAAAGTATCTGTAATAAGATTGGTTTTCAATACTTTTTTCAATGTAATTAACTGTTACAATGTAGACAGGGTTCACAGTATATTTACATCACATTGATTGTAATTTTTTTATTTTAGTCTATGTTTTATATTATTTGTTATGTATCTAGGTTTTATTTGTATTTAAAGAATTTAATTTAAATGGATTTCGATTTTTCTTCCTGTGTTTATGCATATTTTCAAGAGATCCATGAAATTGTTTACCAAATTAACAAATAAACAGAGGTTAGAGAATCTTTAGAACAGTAATGAAAAAAAGCAACTGATAAAATTTTAGTTTTAAAATAATAAAAAAAGAAACGTTAATATCAAGTCTGAATTTTGGCTGGGTTTTAAAAATGGCAATGATAGGAAATATGTAACAATGATTAAAAATAGTTTACTATGTTACGTTCTGCCTCCATCTTGGATATATGAACATGGCCTATATTTTTAATGTATAGAGTATCGACACAGTAAGAATGTTGGTGAATTTAATCATGGTTTAGCCAGAAAAACCACCCAAAAAAGTAAAAAAAAAAAATACTAATCTTTATTTTGTTTGAGGTTAGGGGCTTGAGCTCCCATTGTATAGGAAATAAGGTTCCCAGCTACTTCTTAAAGAAGTATCATTTATATATAGGCCTATAATTGAAATAAATTTGTTGAACATGTCTTTATTCATAAATGATACAATGATATACAAATACATCAAATAGTGTCATAGTCTTAAATTAATATAACATATAAATAAACAGGTAAAGATAATTTGAAGCTTATCCGTAAAAAAAAAGTACATGATAACAGTTACTTAACCCTGTATCTGGCGCTGGTCGATTATCGACCAAGACGACATGGGTTGGGTTTTCTATCATTAACCCTAGCAGTGGCCAACCGTCGTCTGGTGACGGTTTGACGGTGATGCTTAGAATAGCCAACGTCGTCTGGTGACGGTATGGGCCGAAATTATTTCAACGGTAAAAAAAAACACTTATAATCAACTCAGATGCGAATAATATATATACCATTCGAAAGATCGCATTCTGAACTTTCATGTGAAATTTGCCCCAGTTGGTTTGAAATATTTAACCCTACATCTGGCAAGAGGCTCAATGAGCCGAATTTGGCAAGTGTAGTGTGAGATGGCAGAGGCTCATTGAGCCGAATTTGTCATTGGCACACTCAAACACATATTTTGTTGTGTTATGATGGAATAAATTACTAACAACCTATACTGTTGTGAAGATGAGATTACGGGCTTTATTTTTCATATATAAAACATCTACGGGCGTTTCTATATACGCGTGTGGGAAATTTTGAAAACAGGTGATTTTTTATAGTGCTGTGACAGTGCAGTACAAAACTCTTTAGGCGACTTATTAATAAAGTTTTTTTATAATTTAGGCCTATTTCTTTTTTGTTTGTACAGTTTATAGCCTATAACCATGCTTGTAAATATACTTTCTTCATTATAAGTTTATTTCTAATTTAGGCCAAGGCTATTTCATTTTTTGGTTGGCAGCCAATTTTTTGCGTAGGCTTAGCCGATTTTAATTTTGTATGCCAAATACAATGTAGGCTTACTTTGTAAATATTTGTAATAATCATATTTAGTCATAAAATATATATTTCAATGTTTTTCAACCCAGTTTATGACTTGTTTTTTTTCACCATATCACTTTGTAATGACTTGTCACTTTTTTCGAAAATGAATTTTTCGGTTGCGACTTTCTGCAAAACACTCTATAGGAGACTTATTACTTAGGTTTAGCAAAAAACCCTATATATATTCTAAAAGTACATAAAATTAGTAACAAAATTTATATCTCAGAATTTCATACATGAGGTAATGAAGATTTTATAATCATTTCATTCATGCGAATATGTTATACATTTTTCATAAAAAATGTAGAAGTTGTTTATATTTTGAGTTTTTTAATTTTTTCAGTTGCAATAATCAGTAAAATACAAATATTTATTGAAAGCCCTATGGTTTTTGAGTATAAACATGCAACTTTTATTGACTCTTGGAATTTATTACTATTTTTGACATCACTCAAAATTTTATTTGCGCTTTTTTTGTGAAAACACATTTTGAAAGATTTATTGACTTTTTACTAATCCTTTTACAATTATTCCAAAAGTCTTTATATTACTATGTAGAGTACTAAACTGCCAAACCTTTTCCAATATATCTTTATAAGAAAAAAAAATTTTAAAACTTCTTATAATCAATAAAATTTCAAATTTTATTTTTCAAAGTAAAAAAAAAATAAACTTATCTCTTTGTTACTATGACAACTATGAGTAAAAAAATAAATAACTTTCACTAAATTGTTCATTATTTTGTGCTGAATCAGAATATATATAATTTATTGTGCTTTCCATTCAATATAAGAGAGTTATTAACAGTTTAATGAGGCCACTACCAAAGTTGACCAAAACCTCTGCCATCTCACAGGTGCACGGCTAGCAGACGACGCCGCCAGATCTAGGGTTAAATATAACTTGTTGGTGGAATCGCCTTAAATGGCAAGAAACACGTAGTCTTGGTACCTCTGGTAAAATATTGGATTTTTCTTAGTCTGGGCTAAATATTTGTGAAAAATTGAAAAAAAATATGTTTTTTACTCAACTATTTTAGGGTCTTGAAACATGTATTACCGAGGAATCAGGCAAATATTTCGTGCCCGGTAAACTGCAAAACCAGTAAACCCATTAAGATGGGGTGTGGGTGTTTCAGTTTGTATATTCAACATGATAAAATAAATAGAAATTTACAACCGGTTTCAACAAACAAGGTCTTGTTAGAATTATAATAAAAATATAAAATTATTATGTATTTTGACACAGTTTTGTAAATCTGAAGGTTTTTGTAAAATTTTACTTTGAAAATTACAAATGGGCTTAGTCTCACTAAAACCAACACATATTCTCACAAAAACCCACATATAATAGCTAAGACCCATACACATATTCAGATTTTTGGTTGCACGTTAAAAATTTACCTATTTTTAGTAGCCTAAACTATTAAATACCATTATTAATTCTAAAAATTGTTAAATTGTTCAATTAAGTTGTGAGTCAGCTAAATTTGGTTGTAGAAATTTATGATGTCAACATTATTTAGTGTCATGTCGTGTAATTATAGTATTTTATTCCGTTTTCGTTTTTAAATATTGTTGCGATATATATTTATAACCAATTTGAAACATTTACATCTAATTAAACAACTACCTGTTTTAAATAAATCGCTAAATGTGCATACATCATGCTATTTTCTGATTTTCCCAAATCAGATTTTTGGACAAAAGCTGGTTTTGATCAAAATTAATATGTTATATTGCTGTAACAATTGCGGTGTTCAAAAGTTATTGCAACTTATGTGGTTTTTAACTACAGGGTGTCCCGGAACTCTCTACCAATATTTTAGGGCTTTGATCCTGGGTAAGAAACGTACCTAAATATCATATTTAAATTGTCCGGAAGTCCTTAGTTACTCACACAGCCGCCATTTTGTTTTTTTCAGTTATTAATTTTTTTCTAAAGAATGGTTAAACATACGAAATGGAAACTTTGCACAAGCATTTATGACAACTAGACAAAGCTACAAAAAAAATTTGAAGATTTTTCAAATTCATAAAACAAAATGGCGGCCATTTAAAATTTTCTTTCTTAAATAACTCAAAAACCATTGATTTTACAAAAATTGTAAATGGCCGCCACTTTGTTTTATGCATTTGAAAAATCGTGATAATTTTTTGGTAGCTTTGTCTAGTTGTCCTAAATGTTTGTGCAAAGTTTCCATTTCATATGTTTAACCATTCTTTAGAAAAAAATTAATAACTGAAAAAAACAAAATGGCGGCTGTGTGAGTAACTAAGGACTTCCGGACAGTTTAAATATAATATTTAGTTATGTTTCTTACCCAGGAGCAATGCCCTAAAATATTGGTAGAGAGTTCCGGGACACCCTGTATAAAAAAACATATTTAATCTCACCGCTTACCCATGATAAAGGTTGTTGACGAGCTTATAGGAGAAAGTATGTGTCATATTGCTGATACCGTTTATTTTAGTGAAGACTGGTGTGAGGCAAGGATGCTTGCTCCCCCCTCTCCTTTTGACAATCGTCATAGACCATGTCATGAGAAAAGTAGTAGAAGGGAGAAGAAAAGGACTGCAATGGGGCATTAACGGTCGTTTGGATGACCTGGATTTTGCAGACGATATATGTCTATTATCCCAGAGACACCAAGATGCACCTGATAAAATTCTAGACCGTAAGGAGATGGCAGGAAGAATTGGACTGAATATAAACATCTCCAAGACTAAAGCCCTCAGGATCAAGCCATATAGGGAATAAGCTATTACCGTAGTACTCATGGTAAGACCTGGACGCGGGACCGATTTTTTTTTCATTTTGAGGTCCCTAGAGGCCAAAAACACCATCCGTTCAAATTCATATATATATATATATATTTATATATATATATATATATATATATATATATATTTATATATATATATATATGTGTGTCCGTTAGCGCGATAACTCGAGCAAAAATGATCCGATTTTGATGAAATTTGGTACAAACGTGTAAAACTATGTTTATTCGAACGAGTTCGCGATCCAGCATAATCGGACCATGGGAACAGTGGTTTATGGGGGGTTTTATGGGGTAAAAATGTGTTTTTCCCATTTTTTACCCTAAAAACAAAAAATTTTGCAATTTCTTTCTAAACCGTTTTGTAGAGCTTAAAAAAAGAAATAATTTAGTATATTGAAGCGCTGTTGTATGCCTAACGGTCACGGAGAAAATTCAAAAATAGTTTAATTTAAAATTCCCATGTTTTTCTTATGGAGAAAATAAAAGTTGTTGTAGTTTACTTGTTTATGGATATATATTGATAAAATTTGGCAAATTTATTTATTTCATCCCATACTATTCACGTATGGTCAAAAAACACTTTTTACCTTCCCCGTAGCAGCAAACCTAGGCACTCCTTAAATCTAATGTTATTTAAATAGGGAATAAATATGTCTTATTTATGGAAATATTTGAGTAAAAATGTAATCAGACAAGTTGAAATTCGCTTAGTCTGCAGGTTTGCTGCGGCGGGGGTACTGAATATAAACATCTCCAAGACTAAAGCCCTCAGGATCA